CCCAGTTGGACGCTGCACTTGAAGCTTGCTTCTTGAGATACTGTGTCTACAGCACAATCACATTCAACGGCTGCAAAAAAGTGAGTGTGGCTAACGAATTGAAGACCAGAATGGAGTACGCAAGAAAGAAACGGAAAGGCAAGGCCCCCAGCAAGACGCATTTGTCTCCGAGGGGAGTGAGAATACTTACGAATGAAACTTCCCATATTTTCCCAGTTCGTACTGTGCTCAGTGTCGGGTTGCGGGACTCTGAAGGAATCGTTCGACACACAGGTGACCAATACAGGCTAATACTCGCCACGGTTTGCATAACGAGTTTGTCCTGCGTGGAGCCCGACGCTACGAGCGGTGAGTTTCGCCCCCTTTTCTCGTGCGACACGTGCCCGCAACAACGCCATCGCGACAGTGCGCGACGTCGTCTATTTTTACCGGATTCTCGGGAGGTTTAGCTTTCGAAATGCTAAGTTTATCTCTTCCAGACGATCGCGGGCTGGCGAGGGAGAAGTGGGTCTGTGCTACCGGCGCAGAGCTGCTTTCCGCCCACGCGCTGTTTTCGCGGGGACCACTTGCTTTCCACGTCTGTGCGCGCGCCCTCGACGCGCTGCGTGCTGTGCCATGCTGCGCTGTAGGTGGGTGGGGACGGCGGGAACGGGGGGAGGGGAGAAGCGAGCAGACGCCCACGCCTGCGTGGCTATCAGTGTTGTTTTCCGCGGTCATGGGGCGTAGGATGTTCCAGGCTGGCGGTATGTTTTTGTCCCATCGTCGGGTGGTGTGGACGGTGGGTGTTGATGGGTGGGTTCATGTTATTGCCGAAGCGATGGCTTCTCGGCAATTGTCACGTACGCTAAATATTGCTTTCTAATGTTGTTTGTATTTGTCCACAGGTGATTTGCGAGCACCGCCACCAAAAATGGGCGAAGGTGACGCTTCTATCGGTAAGTGTTGTGTATGTAAATTAAAAAAAAAAAAGTAGTTAAAATCCTACCGGAATGTTCAGTGTTCGATACCAGTATAAGATAGCGTCTAAATAGTGCAGTAAACTAATTCTCGTGAATATTCTACGGAATGTTTCCACAATTTTTTTTTTTAAGTTCTTAAGATGACGATTTTAATTCTAATTTGTGGCCTTCGATTGGCATTTCTTGAAGCTATCATGTTTATCAAGATAATTGTGCCACTTTTAGTAAACCTGCATTTTTTAAGAGGTTGAGTAATAATTTGGCACAAAGTTCGTCATATTTTTCGCATTTTTCCGTGTATCGTCATCTTTAATTTGTTCCAGTGCATTTCACGCCCTTTACATGCCTTTAGGTTCCGCTCCTGAGTTATTCCCTTCGCCGTGCTGCATTTTGACTCCCTCTGAGTTATTTCGCTCATTTCCCACACTGTGATAACCTACAATGCACAATTTTAATTACGCTCGTTAGTAGGCTGATTTTAATCGGTGCGTTTATTTTCACATTTTTACATAAATCACTCAGCGTCCTCTCGTTTCCCCGTTTTCGTGCATATCTGACCATTTGGCGTCCCTTTCTAAATTCCTTTTCACAGCCGTACGCTACTACTAAATACTTCATGCTGTGTGTGTTGTTTCGCTTCCAATCAGCCCCTTTTAATTTTTCGACATCACTTTTCCAAAGTGAGCTATTACAATCTCATGATTCACTGCACTGTGAACGTCGCGCAGTGAGAAGCACCTCCATGGGGTGGGGTAGGGCAGTGCGGTACGCGAGAGGGCTTTTGGTCGCATTCCACTCCCGTGAGGTGGGCGTCCGTTGCGCGTCCGTCGACGTGGACGTGGACGCGGACGCGGACGCGGACGCGGACGCTGACGCTGCCTGGCTAGTTCGCGTCACTCCCACGTGGCACGCCACTCCATCGAGTGAGTGAGTGTTCCTAGCGCAAGCACGTGCTTTTCCCCCGACGACCAGTGATTTATTCGCGAGTTTAGCACGTGTGATCTTTCACAGATGGGAATATTTTGTGGCCGAATTTCGCTCTCAATGCATTGACTTATCAGAGTCAATACATCTTTCAGAGCCGACACTTCTGCAGTAATTGTAGCTAATATAGTTACTTTCGTATGTTTGTTATATTATCGTATCAGAATCAAGAACTTGCTTTGGAAGATTCTGGTTACCCCCCCCCCTCTAAATGGATAATTTTGTTGTTGTTTTTCTCGTTTGAAGGATTATTTTATTGGCGTGATAAAAATACTCTAGTATTTGACCGTGCAACTATAACTTCTCAGAAACTTTATTCAAAGGTGCTACAACGAAAGGAGGTCGGTGGTCTACTGGAACAGGCACGGTTGAATTGATTTTAAACGCAGTTTGCGAACACACATTTAGAAATATACGCACATTTTTTTTATGTACTCTTGGCAATATAAGTGTCACTGCAGTACTTGATTTTTGCCTGGAATGTTAGCCTGCTTTACTGACGTCAGGTAAATTTCGTTCAACTCGAGTTCGGTAATAGGCTCTCTTTTTTCTCAGTGGTCGTGCATGTTCCGTTGTGCCCCTGGTTTAGGCTTTACATTGGGACGAACACTTTCCGTGGAAATTGGTGTATGCCAACATGCGGCCGGCCGCTTGTTTATTCTGTTGGCAGCCTTGACCCCGAAGGCCGGCCTTGACGGCGCGGCAGTGGCGGCGGCAGTAGTAGTAGCAGCAGTAGCAGCAGCAGCAGCAGCAGCAGCAGCAGCATGCCTGGTGTGTTGGTCTCGCTCTTGGCCCTGCACCAGCGTACCTCCGCATCGCCAGCCGGATCTACGACGCGCGAAGGATTGCCAACTTTCCCGGCGAAGGCGAGAGCTGTTGGGCGCCTGCAAAATATGTCGTTTTTGTGGCAACTACTGTATTCGGCCATCCCTTTTCTTCTCGCGCCCTCCCACATGAACCCAGTTCGGTTGTCAAGGAGTCATCCATTCTCTAGAAATCGTTTTATACGATACTTCTCTGCTGAGCATTGTTCTTCTCGTGTGTAGTTACGTCCCGCTACATCGCTTCCTTCGCGTCTCGCCTGCCCCGCCCACCCGCACCTAACAAGCCGGGGCGCACTTGGGCGGCCGCCCGCGCGCTCTCGCCTGTAGCTGGGCGCGGACCCTTCTAATTTCGACTGGTGGGAGGAAAGTATTCGAGGGAGGTGCGCCGCCCGTCCGCGCCAGGAGCGGTCGTGAGACAACGCTTAAATATACTCCAATCGACGATACCGACGTCACGGCGACGCGGGAGGCGACGAGTGCCACCTCAGACGCCCCGACCGCTATGTTTAGCATCTCGACTGATAACTTATCTTGTTTGTGTCCGATCACCCGCTCGTCAGTGTACAACGCGCGGACGGTTAATTCCAAAAGCATGGAACGGGACTGGCGCGTGAAATCACTCTTTAGAGAAACGAGGCAGAATTCGTGGATTTTCCGGAGATGCGATACCGAGCGCTGTGGACATAGCTCCTGTAACGACCCTTGGTGCTCCTAAAATAAATGGACTTTTATAAATGACCCATTGTTTGATGATAACGTTGAGTGGATGATGGGAAAGATATGCGACCAGCGCAGAATAGATGAGGTGTGGCAAACTTGGTTTTCAGGGCCCATTCCTATTTGTCATCAGGGGCATATCGTGCGTCTGTGGCAAAACTTTAAAAAATAATCTCCAGCCTTCTGTTGATAATATTTTAAAACGATCGTTCGATCTAGTTGAATAGTGTAACCTTTGATGGGGAGTGATTTTACTAGTACATAAGTTCAATCTTTGCTGAAACAAATTTTTAAATTGTGGGTTGCAGACAATGATTGGAAAATGTGCTTCGAGATATGGAGGATTGCCCATTGATTGTACTTCCAATTATTAAAATGTCTTGCGATAAACATAATTTGGTGTACCACATCCATAATTAATCTAACGAGAATTTCATGATTGTGCGACTTAAGATATCCAGATATTTTTTTTTTAATTTGTATATGTTGATTTTATTTTCATTTCAATTTGTCAAATCTTTCTCCATGGACTCCATAATTCATGTGAAGAATGCAGGAACAACATTTTCGGTATCAAGACGCAGAAAACATGATTCTGGCTACAGAATTTCTGGAGGAATAAGTTTGTGACTGTAAGTACGAGAAAGTAAAAATGGCCCAGATCCCATTTTCACTGAAAGGGTTGGCTGAAAGGCTCAAGGCGCAAGGGTGAAATGCCGAACATGTTAACTCTAAGGAATATTGAAATTACTAGGCGTAGGATAACTTGCTCGGTGGAAACACTTTCTAGGTTCATGTATTATAATAGTGCTTATAATGCGAGAAAGTATGTTCTGTTGTTGCCCCGCTCCAACAACGCTAGAAATTTGGAGAGAACGGCCACCGGGGCAGTATATTCTACTTCCTTGTCAGGATACGTATTTGGCATTTTCGAAATGTCTTACTTCTTAATGTGATGCGAATTCAATGAACCATATCTACAGTGGTATTGGTCATTTGCCGCCAAATTCAAAATACTGTTATTTTAAGAATTTGATTGCGTAGATGGCCAAGAAAAATCAGTAGAATCTTGGCCAGTAACAGAGCTGATGCGTTCACTCTGAGCCAGAGGGCGAAGTTCCGTGCCGAGATTCTGAGACGGCTCGCGGTCAATATTGGTCAGCTGAGTCACGATGCGCTTGGTGCTTGAGGAAGGGATGGAATAGGAAGAAGCCAGAGCGTAGATACGGTCATGTATTGACCAGTGATAAGTTTATGCCTGCCCGTACGCCAGATGAATTTATTTATTCTAAGATTGTTTCTGGGGCACTTAAAGGGTCGATTTTAAGTGCCCTGGACGTATTTCGCCGGACTAAGTGAAATGTTTCGTGCTAATGTTCGGAAATATACACCAAAACATTTAGAATAAACTATAGCTAATACCAAATAGGTACTTTGTGCTAAATTTAATTTTCGCAAGTTGAACTTCTTTCTACAGCTCATGTTTTTGTAAACATTAGTCTGTGCGGGAAATAGGGTCGAATGTTCAGAACTCACAAACTTGTCATAAAAAACAAAAATCACCTAGTGAATTGGTGTTGGGATAGGGAACTGCCTTTCTTGTAATTGAGTAAATATATTTGTACCAGTAAATATTATGACCTTGCTATAGTGCAGCTATGATTATGCTGCACATAATATATTTCAGTAACCTCGTTTCTGTTGAACTGGTTATAGTAACAACGCTACTTAAACTAGGATGCTTCAACAGCGCATAATTTCTCGTTATTTGTAATTTTTGCAAGGTACGAAAATCGGACCTGCCTCATTTTAAAGGCTTTGGCATATCCATTTTTACTTTCCCATATATACTGAGTGCTATACGTAGTATAAAGAAAGTTATGTAATGCTACGGAAAATCGATTTCGAGATTTCAACGGAAATAAGTTTTGGGATTCCCTGATACCCAAATGTCAGACAACCCAAGATTCCCTGGGACTCCAAATATTTTCTTTAAAATTTCTTGTAAGAAATAAGAGTAAAGTAAAGAGTAAAGTTCTTGTAAGAGTAAAATACACTTGCAAAAGGTGCCATAGGTCCGATTTTCAGATTTCTTTGAATTTTCGAAAATTTTCGACCATTATCATACAACTACAAAATTGAAGATAGATTTTTCCTTCTAATATTGTCCGTTGTGAGTTCTTCTATTAAGTTCAGGAGCTTTATTGCGTGCAATTTTTAAAATTAGCAAAAACAATATTTTCTCAAACTGCTCCAATTTTTTTAAACTTTTGTTAGGGATAGTACTAAACGCACTCTGAGATGACATAAACATCTGTTTGCTCTCTAATCTTTTGCTTTCACAAATTACAAAATTGTTATATTTGTACGTGTCTAATGTCGTTAATATTTACATTAGTCGCGATTTATTGACTTTTTTTTATAATTATGAATACACGTGCTTGGAATATC